GGGAAGAGGCCATTCTGGAATGTTCAAAAACACATGGAATTCATTCCAGAGCTGCCTGGAACCGTCCTGAACAGAAAACGTCAGCCTCAGGTTCAAGGGCGGCCACGAAGGGACCTCTCCCCGGAAGAGATGAATTGGGAAATGAAGGTGGTACGTCACGGCCAGGTCCTCAGATGAAGGTGGGGGAAGCCCACCTGGTGTTTCGGGGTAAGTGATAAGACGGAAGTCCCGGTACAGGAGAAGCCCCTTCACAAGCCGCCGAGGAAACACAGAGGGTCGGCGGCCAAGGGGACTCCTAAGAAGGCCACGGAGCATGGCCTTGGTCCCAGGGCTCTTCGGAAAATCGCCAAAGCTGTGGCCGGAGAAGCTTTGGGAAAGCCGGAGAGGACAGGCCCCAGGCTGCCCACTTGCATGGCATCTGGAGCAAAGAGGGGAGGGAGATCCCAGGATGGAGGGAATGGGGTGCCCGCTCCTCCCAGCCGTCACCAGAGGGGCAGGGCCCCAGGGCTCGGCTCCCCGCCGCGGGCCATGTTCGTCAGTATCTGAGTCTCAGATCTTTTCATCTTTTTCTGAGAAATGTTTCCCATTGGAATGAGTGAAATGAAGTATTTTGTTTTTCAAGAAACATAAACATCCATCCAGGAAAGATGATAGCATTTTAGCATTTCATCTTTAGGAACCCGCAGTGTAAAATCAATTCTGCTCTCCATGCACGAGGGAATACCATAGCCAGTAAGCTCCTGGCAATTTCTCCTTTAAATTGGATTTGGTTGATTTTATTCTGGAATTCTGTTTTTAAAGACCAGTGTTTGTTTGTAATGGATTAGTCTTAGTCTACTGGCCAGAGAAGCCTCAAGCGGCTCCGCCCCTGGAGAGAACGGGCTAACTTTATGTTGCACGGTGGTCACTGCCCCTCCTCAGCTGCAGATGCTCCCACTGACCCATAAAAGCCCTATTTGAAATTCAGTTCCACGAATAGAAACAAGGAAAAGAAGTGCCAGTTCCCAGACCTTGGGGCTTCCTCTGCTTACAAACCCAACCCCCAGCTGCAGAGAAGGGCTGAGCCATGCAGGGACCCTCCAAATGCACCCCAAAGCCCACGCTGAGTCACTGATGGCTTTTTAATTACAGAGAATCCTGAGCAACGGAGGGAGGGGAAGGGGTGCCACGATGTCGGTGGGGGAGGTGGAGAGGAGGCATCTGGTGCCCCCAACCCCCGGCAGGCAATCCCGACCCCACCCGCCACCAGCTGGCGCTGGGGTGTCAGAGTCAGGGCCGCCTACGCCTCCATTTGTCCTTGGCAGAAATCACTGTGAATGGCATGCAGTGAGAACACGAGCTAACACGTTGCAGTGGGCTTCAGTCGTTAAACCTGCAGTTGACACAGTGGCTGCCCAGTTCGGGAAGCAGCCGGGGTGGGGGGAGGGGGCTGGCGGCCCAGGAGCTCCACTCAACACCTGGGCCACCATGGGCACCAGCCCCCAGGGCGATCCCCCCGGTTCCCGGGCGGCACCACGTCTCTCTCCTCACTGCACACAGCAGAACACTCGCTGGCCAGGGTCCTCCGGCCCAGGAAGGCTGTGCGGCACCTGAGCGTAGCCCAGGGAAGGCTCCTTTCTGAAGCTCCCCCAGCCGGCAGCAATGGAAACGCAGACACGCGCAGCCGGCTCCGGGGACAAGGAGGGCCGCATGCACCCAGAGCTGCACGGGGACCTGTCAGGAGCCGTGGGCCGAGCCCCCACTGCACTCCAAGCTGCAGACACGCTGCTCTCGGCCCCAGCGAGCTCTGAGTGCAGCAAGTGGGCTCACAGGGGTGATAACAGCTTCTTCACGGTCACGGGGCCAGCTCTGAGGACATGGTTGTGGGTCGAATTGTGTCCCCAAAAATGACATGTTGAAGTCCTAGCTCCAGGTACCTGTGTGATCTTATTTGGAAATAAGAGCTTTGTAGATATAACCCAACATGACTGGTATCCTTATGGAAAAAGGGACAGCCAGAATAATAGTCACAGAGTGATAGCCACAGGGTGACAACCAGAGTGACAGCCACAGAGTGTTCGGAGAGCTCGGGCCCTCTGGCAAAAGCCACGTCAGTGGTCCACCATCCTTGGGTGTCTGTCTGCAGCCCCAGGAGAAACATGGTCATTAATTTTGCCAAGAGACTCTCATACTGTAAAATGAATTCTATGGTCACTGGAAACAAAAGAAAGTTTAAATGTTTCTATTTACTGAATATTTATGGTGTTTTTGAGTTTATTTATTTATTTTGAGAGAGAGGGAGAGAGAGAACCCCAAGCAGGCTCCACGCTCAGCACAGAACCCAGTGTCGGGCTCGGAACCCAGGAACCATGAGATCATGATCTACACGAAAATCAAGAGTCAGATGCTTAACTGACTGAGCCCCCCAGGTGCTGAAATGTTTTGAATATTTGGTTTCTTAAAAACTACATGTGTTTTGCTGAAAAGACGTGTAATTGGAGATCAATGGACACTTTCAAGCATGAAAATATATCAGAAGAGGATACAATTCTGGCCACAATTTGATGTCTGTAATTTAAGGGAAAACATTCTGATGAAGACTGAGGACTGGCAAAGAACGTGTTTATGTGATTTCTTAAGTGACTGACATTTGGTATCCAGATGCCTGGCGGGCTCAGTCAACGGAACATGCGACTCTTGATCTCAGGGTCGTGAGTTCAAGCCCCGTGTTGGGCATAGAGCCTACTTAAAAATAAAAATGTAAAAAAGAAAAACCATTTTGGTATTTACCTTCTTGGGTACATTGACAAGAGTAACAGCTTTATTTCAAAATATCAATATTTACCACACCAGAAATTACATTCTTTGCATTATTTACATTTGTGATTTCCTTAAAAATTTAAACGTTGGCTTTGAAATGTGCAAACAGTTTGACAGCTTTTCAGAATTCATTTACGGAAAATGAGAGGCAAAACCCTGAAGACCCCGCCCCATTTGCCTCAGCAAGCAGCCTGGCCACTCTAAGTGCCGACTGAATGCCCTAAGACAGGAGCAAGCCCCCCTCCGAAGGAGACACCGGGCTCAGAATAACAAAGCGAAGTCCTGCCCGTGCGTGCGTAGACAGGGCCCAGCGGCCAGCACAGAGCTTTGCAGGACACGGTGTCTGTCCAGGGCCTCCTGACCTGGCATTCACCAGGAGGGATGTCCACGGAGGGCAGAGGCCAGAGGCAGGGAGGGCAGCTCAGACCAGGATCTGCAGAAGGGAGGGTCTTGTGGGAAAGCGAGGTGGGGCAGAGAGTGAGTAGAGCAGCGAGGGAAGGCCACTGAGAAGGCTGGGGCACCACCACGTCGTGGCCTCGGACTGTGGAGCAGGCCTCTGACATCACCCGGGAGGCCTCGGGAAGAAGGTCAGCTGGCTGGGCGTGTGCTGGTCACCCTGGGGTGGTGGCGAGGCAGACGTGGAGGCCAAAACTGAGAGGTCACTCCAGTGGTCTGTGTGTGAGGGCTCTTGGCCTCACGAGTTTGCAGCTAACTCCGAGTGGATATCCAGGGGCCCCTGGGATGTCCTCATACCCACATGTGTGTCTCAGCCGCTCCGGGAAGACCCGCAGGGCCTCGCCGAGACCTGCTCTGCCGTCAAGAATCACACCTCATCCAACATTAATGCAGCACCTACTGTGTTGAGGCACCAGTACACAGGACCGATACCAAATCCTTCCTTGGACCAGAGCGGGCAAGTATGCAAACACTAAGGAAGCTTCCAGCTAAGGTGACATCACTCAGTGAACAAGGAAGACCAATGACGACAAACTTTTTTTTTTTAAGTTTTTATTTATTTTTGAGAGAGAGCGAGCGAGAGAGAGAGAGAGCATGAGTGGGGGAGGGTCAGAGAGAGAGGGAGACACAGAATCTGAAACAGGCTCCAGGCTCTGAGCTGTCAGCACAGAGCCTGATGCGGGGCTCGAACCCACGAACTGTGAGATCATGACCTGAGCCGAAGTCGGAGCGCAACCGACTGAGCCCCCAGGCGTTCCGACGACAAACTTTTAAATGAAGAAAGGATGGCAGTGTGGCCTCAGCCCCACGGGATCTCCCTCGGCTCCTTCCCTCTGCTCCTCCCCCTCGGCTACACCCCCGCCCGCCCCCTCGGCTCCTCCCCTCACCCCTCGGCCACGCCCTTCCCCCCCCGGCCCCGCCCCCAGCCCCGCCCCTCGGCTCCTCCCCCTCACCCCTCGGCCCCGCCCTTCCCTCCCCTCCGGCCCAGCCCCCAGCCCCGCCCCTCGGCTCCTCCCCTCACCCTTCGGCCACGCCCTTCCCTCCCCTCCGGCCCCCGCCCCCTCCCCAGCCCCGCCCCCTCGGCTCCTCCCCACCCTGCCCTCCCCTGGCCCATCACCCTGGTCTGAGCCCCAGTCCTTCTGACGAGGGACGGAAAACGTCCCCTACGCGCCTCAGGCTACAACAGCCAAAGCTGAGTGAGCCGCGTCAAAGCCTGTCTGCCCCGCAGTGCACCCACGGCCCGCACCTCTTCCTCAAGCAAACGGTGTGCCGTCAGACTCACGACTGCCTGCGGTACGACTGCTCCCCGGTTACGGGATTATCGTTGCCCCTCCCATCGGCGCCCAAGTCCCCGCCCCTACCCTCTGCGCCCCCGCCCCGCCAGCCGACAGCCCACACCCACCTCTAGCGAGGTCCCTGCAGCACGTGGGGGCTCAGAGGGCCCTGGGGCTGGGTGGTGGGTGAGGGGTGCCTCCAGCCCTCAGCACGGGCAAGTGAGGCCAGAGGGACCCTACCGGCAGGGGGCTCAGCTCTGTGGACCCAGGGTCTGGGGGAGCCTGGGGCACCGCCCACCCGCCCCCGTCCGAGGCCCTGGGCGCCCCCACGCACAGCTGCTCCAGCCCCAGCCGCCGCCACCCACCCCGCCCCGGCCACTGCTCTGCGCTGCCCAGAATACCCGGAAGGGGGGAGCTGCACACACTCTCGTGCTCGACTCGGTGGGCTCAAGGGTCAGCATTTTGCACAAGGTGAGGCCGGCCAGCACCCACCTGGCTGCCAGCCTGGGGCCTACTTCTTTGGTGACTTGGATGGCGCTCACGTGCGTGGGTGTCACATGCCAGGGTGCAGGCACAGTGACCTGACCCCAGCACAGAATGCTGGGGATCCTGGTCCCGGCGCGTGCTTGGACTTTGCAGGCCTTGCCACACCTGCGTCGTTCACACGACGGAATTGATGGAGCCCCCACGTGCACCTGGCCGGGGCTGCGAGGGTGGGGCTGGCCACATGGGGAAGCCACAGCCTGGCCGGGGGCACCTGCTCTCCCCCTGCGGCTCCAGCCCAGGGCCTGCTGGGAGCCGGGAAGGGACCAAGGACCACGTCTCCCAGGGCCGTGAGGCTGCCATCCACCCTCCCGTGGAAAAGGCGGCAGCCGAGCTGTCTGGCCCTTTGCCAGGGTTGGGAGCGGACCCTGGGTCCTTGCTAACCACCGGCCCCAGGTCGAAGCAAGGCTCACCCCGGTGCTGAGCAAAGTTCAGCCACCGGACGGTAAAGGGGCGACGGAGGGGTTCATCAGGAGGCAGCAGGGCGGCCAAATCGTGTGGTCTTCGGTGTCCTTCGCACGCGGCTGGCTGGCAAGGTGTGGATGAAGCTGTGACTGTCGGTGCCCACACGCAGCCATGAGACTCTCACTCAAGGGAGGAGACAGGCCAGACCCCCGCTACTCAGACGGCCCCCGCTCGGTCTCCAGCTCCCCCCCCCCCGCTTCCCTCCCTCACCCCCGCGCGCCTCCGCGGCCGCCACCCCCGCGGGGACTGCGGCAGCCCCGCCCCTAGGCGGCGGGGGTGGGGGGAGGGAAGGGGGCCGGGCAGAGGGTCCATGACCCACCCAGAGCCCTCCTAGGAGTGGGCCACGGCCCTCGACCTCGGGGCTCCAGGCGGGCGCAGACCCAGGCAGCAACCTGCGGTGGCGTCGCTGACGACGCCGGCCACACAAGGGGCCCCGCCCCAAGCGGTGCCAGCCGCGCACAGGCCGCCGGCCCAGGGCAGCCTGCGGAAGGCGGCCCTCGTCCCTGGGGGACTGAGTCCCCAGGAGCGCGCAGACCCCAGCCGCGCCCGAGCGCCCGCCAAAGTGAGCACGGCCCGGCGAGTGCCGGGACCCCCGGCTGCTCCCGGACGCCCCGTCCCCCGCTCGGGTGACACTGCGGCAGGCGCGCGGGCGGCGCGGCGAGGGCGGGGCCGCGGGGGGCGGGCGCGTTGCCATGGCGGCGGGGCGCGCGTAGCCGGAGCCCGAGCCGGAGCGGCGCGCGTAGCCGGAGCCCGAGCCGGAGCCCCAGCCGGAGCCCCCGAGGCGCGCGGAGCCCAAGCCCAAAGCGGAGCCCGAACCCGGGCGGCGCGCGGAGCCGGGCGCAGGGCCCGCGGGAAGGCCCAGGCCGGGCGGGCGCGGCGGGCAGGGGCGCCGGCCCCGGCGCGAGGCTCCCCCGCTGGCCGAGTCCGAGGCGCAGCCGGCGCGCCCGCACCGCGCAGGCCATGGACGCGGCCGTGGCAGATTTGTACGAACAGGACGGCAAAGACCTAGCGGGCTACGACTTCGAGCCGCTCCCCACTCTGCCGGAGGACGAGGTGAGCCCCGCCTTCCCCCACCTGCTCCTAGGGAAAGCCCGGGGGAGGGTGTCCCCGCCCCCAGGACCCCTGCCCTCGGCTCAGGTCTTGGCGACCGCTCGCAGCAACGCCCCGTCGGCCTCAGCATTTTCGCTTCGAGAGGACAGGACCCCCGGAATGCCAGCCCCACGGGACAGCAGTGGTGGGTGGTCACTGAAGAAGTTGGTGCCTTGGGGGGGGAGGGAGGGTGGAAGCTCCTGATTATCAGTGTTGGATGGATGAGTGTGTTGTTGGGCATCGTGAGGGGGAGGGGTGGAGCCCTGGCTTCCTCCTTGCCAGCGCCCTAGGAGGTCAGTGGGAGACACTGGCCAGCAAAGCGCAATCAGGCCAGCCTGTTCAGGAGCTGGGGCGGAGGTGGGGGAAGCCCCCAGGACGGAGGGCTGCTTCCCGCACACAGGACAGGAGGGGCCTCCAGCCAGCATCCCTGAGCATCCCCCCTCCCCCCTCCCAAGGCTCGGAGAGACCAGCGGTCTCCGTCACATAGAGCTTCCGGTCATTAACTGGACAGGTGCCCACAGAACTGATCTGCCTGCACCTCTTGCTTCCCCACTGCACCCACAGGCTGCAGCCTGGGGCCAAATGAACAAGCCAGGTCCCTCCATGTGATAGGTGGCCCCTCGGGGGAGGCAGCCACTCCCAGGAAGACCCAAGGCTGGGGGTCTTGGCAGAGGAGGGCCTTCCAAGCCTCCAGCAGACTTCTGTGCTCACCGTGGAGGAATCCTGGCATCATACAACCTCCACGGAACGGGCTGCAAGCAGTATGTTGCTGATGAAGACCCTCCAAAGCCCATGTGGGCAAGACTGGTGGCCGAGAGTTAGACACAGCCACCACCCTCCTGGAGTAGATAAGAACGTGGCTGCAGTCCTCAGGGCCTTCCACCCTCTGCCTGCCCACCCCTCACCCCTACGTCTGCAGGAAAGCTGGCTGTTAAGGGCAGAGTTCATGACACAGTGGCCCTGTCCTTTTGGGGAGCAGAGCGTGCCGTAGGAAGCCCGTGGCTGGCTGGCCAGGAGCCACCGAGGCGGGACCTGAGGGTTGGTGTTACCCCCCCTCCCCCAACCGTGGTGGCCTGGATTTGGTGAGACACAAGGCTGCAGAGAGGAGAAGCCAGAGAATCTCCATGGCTTTGATGAAGAAAGAAAGGGTGCACCCAGCCCATAGCCTTCAAAATCTCCCCCAGAGGACACATTTCAGTGTATCTGTTAGAAGACTCACCTCCTCCGTCACCATCCAAAGCAGATGGAGAACGTGGCTCCTCATATCAGCGACCCCATACTTTGTGGGCCTCCTCTGTGCCCCATGCAGAGTCCGTGGCTGGTGCCAAACAAACAGAAGAGCAGAGCCAGGATTGAGACCCAGAGCCAGGTCCCCACCCATGGTCTGTGCCCCTGTGTGCCCTTTGCTGGGTCAGAGGGTTCCCTGGTGCCCCTCTGGGTTCGAGCAGCCCCCTAGATGTGCGCATAGAGCTGCTCAGTTTCCATTGTCCTGTGACCGAGGCCTCTGGCTGAAGCGGGATGCCACCACACTAGGAGCATCCATTGGGAAAGCTCCGATGGGCCCCTCAAACTTCTTCCACCTTTTTGGGGGGAGAGAGGCACTTTCTTTGGGCACGCTCCCGTAAAACAGGAAGCCTGTCCGGGCTCAACCCTTGGAGACAGACTGACGTCCTGCACCTGGGAACACACCTGATCCAGACTTCATGCTTCCTACACACATTCAGCTCAGTTGGTGTTGAAGGTTCTAAATCTCCATCAGAGTCACATGACTGTACTTGCTATTATGGAGTCAGGTTGCACCTGAAGAAGCCATCCCGTGTAGGGCGAGGGGGTACCCAGGCTGCCCAGGGTGGGCCGTGCTGACGGAAACCCTGGAGAGAGACAGGATGGAGAAGGCACAGGGCGGCTCCTATGGCGGGGGGGTGGGGGTGGGGGAGGGGGTGCCAGACCCAGAACATGGACAGACTGCATGAGACACGGGAATTCCCGTATTTACAGCTGATGGTAACAACAGACTATACAGCAAGGTCAGGAGCTAGAACCCCATAGGACTCCCTGGAGCCCCAGAGATTGCCCCTCCTTGGTTGTAACCCCAGAAAAAATCCAAATGGCCAGTGAGCACATGAAAAATGTTGACTTCGTCGTCATCAAGGAATGCAAAACACCCCCGCCCTGAACACCTGTCCACAGGTGCCAGCTAGCAAGGACCGAAAGCCTGGCTGATGGCAGGGACAGGCGTGGCGGCAGACCCCTTCCCGGTGGCAGTGCCCCGGCGCCCCCACTCTGGGTGTGTGCCACTGGGGGCTTTCCCACTGCAAGCCCCCCAGGGCGAGAGGTCCCGGGGGCTGTCGTGCAGCCCGCTCCCCTGCTACCTGCAGCGGCACCACTGCAGCGGCCCCAGCAGAGCTCGGGGACGAGGGGCCAGGCAGAGCGGCCGCAGCCGGAGGGGCAGAGGCCAGGCCTTCCGGAGGCAAGTGGTGTCACCTTCAGGGGCCTCCAGGGGACGGGGACAAGACAAGGACAGGGCAGGCTCGGAGGTGAAAACGGCCCGCGTTCAGCCTGGGGGGGCAGCTCCGGGTTTCTAGACTTTCCTGAGATGTAAGGGGCTCTCCCACCCCTTCCGGGTTCAGTGAGCGTCTCCCAGCATCTACGCGCCAGACGCCAGGCCGGGTCCAGGGATGCGAAGGTGGGTGGGGCCGCCGGTGCTGCCCGGAGGCACCCACGGCTGGCGGTGCCCCGTGAAGAAGCAGATATTCCCACTGGGCCTGGGCCCACGTGATGACCCCACCCAGACGCACGGAGCAGTGGGCAGCAGGAGAGGCGAGGAGAGCCTCGTGCCGGGGGACGGTCGGGACTTGGAGGGCGGCCCCCCCGGGCCTGGGGTCTGGAGCAGGCCCAGGGACTGTCCGCATGCGTCCTCAGCAATGATTTGGATTTGTGTTGGGTGCTCCCGTCAGGAGGCTCCAGGGTTGAGAAAAGTAACATAGGAGAGTATGTTTGAAATGTACAAGAATGATCCTGGGTCCCTGTGGGTCCCCACGTACCCCTGGCTCACAGGGTTATCTCTGACAGGTGGGGGGTCTTCGAGGCTCAGAAGCTGCCGGATGGGCCCACTTTGCTACAACCAGACAAGGGTTGTCAACTGGGAAGCCAGCCCTGCCCTGTGGCGGGCGAGGGGCTGCCCTGGGGACCGGCCTCCCTGAGGAGTGCCCCCCCCCCCAGGCTGCACAGGGCGGGGGTTGTGTCTGCACCACCACTAAGGAAGGACAACTCTTTCCTGCCCCGCAAGGACCGTGACTTAGGGGATCCCCACCCTCAGGCCTGCTCACGGCCCAGGCAGCACCTTGCTGGGCACAGTGAGGGGCTGGGTTCCAGGCCCCGCGGG